CTCTCTTCCTCCAACAGATGTGCTTTTGGATCGTTTTCTGCATCTTCAAGCGAGAAAAAAGGACACAGACTGCGATTAAAAGGGACGCCCATGTTGGATTGGCAGCAAGCCCAGCTGATGCTCATGATTCTCTCTCTTTCCCTACACATGGGCGATGGAACGGGTGTCCTTTTCAATCGTTTTCTGCATCTTCAAGAGAAACAGGGACACCCCACAAGAAGGAAAAGCAACATAAGAGATAGGGAGGGAAATTGACCCTTTCCTCTCTTCTTATCTGCTATTTTTCTTATTCGCTTCAAAAAGCAACATAAGGGAAAGGGGATTTCCTGAAGAGGAGAGAGGGAACCTATCTGTGAAAAGCAAGAATGGTTTTTTCTAGTTCGAAAGGGAATAGGGAGAGACAAGGGAGAGATGATATGTACAGCTTTGCGCCTTATTTTGTGATTCCGTCTCCTTGCTTCCTGTCTCTTCTATTCCTTGCAGCACGCTTCGGGAAACATAGCATCCTTGTTATCTTTCCTCTCTCACTTCCCTTTCCCTTCTCTTCTTCCGCTTCCTTTTAACTGATAAAACACAAGAAAGGAACTCATATGATAAAGCAGTGAAAAGGTAAGCAGAGGGTGACTCCTTGCGCGTGAGCCTTTCCATAATACTCCATCATATTCATCCTCTCGGCCTATCTCTTCTGTTCCTTTCCTTATTCTTCTCCTTCTCATAGTTCTTCCTTTTTGTTTTTCTCATTTCGAAAAGAAAGAGGGAAGGGAGAAACAAGGGAGAGAGAATAGACAAAGAAGAGCGCCATCTTCTCTATTCATCTGTCTTCTATTCTCTTCCTTGCTCTTCCCATTAAATATGCAATCCTTGGTATCTCTCCTCTCTCCTTCTCTCTTCCTCCAACAGATGTGCTTTTGGATCGTTTTCTGCATCTTCAAGCGAGAAAAAAGGACACATAATGCGATTAAAAGGGACGCCCATGTTGGATTGGCAGCAAGCCCAGCTGATGCTCATGATTCTCTCTCTTTCCCTACATATGGGCGATGGAACGGGTGTCCTGTTCAATCGTTTTCTGCATCTTCAAGAGAAAAGGGACACCCCACAAGAAGGAAAAGTAACATAAGAGATAGGGAGGGAAATTGAAGAACTCCTCATTGTACTTGGTCATTCCCTTTCCTCTCTTCTTATCTGCCCATTTTCTGTGCGCCTTGTTTTGTCTCCTCCTCTTCTCCCATCATCTCTCTTCTGGTCTTTTCTTTGCTCTTCCCATTAAAAATGCAACCCTTTTTATGTCTCCTCTCTCCTTCTCTCTCCCTCCTCTTCTCCTGTTCCCTTCTAAACGAAAAAAACGCAAGAAAGGAAGAATAAGAGGGGAATGGAGGCCCTGTTCCTTTTCCTCTTTCAATGGATGGGGGAAGTGGGCGGAGTTGGCCCCTTGCCCGTACACCCTCCCCATGCTTCAGCAAACCCCTCCTCTCGCCCTATCGCCTCTGTTTTTCCTTGTGCCCAAACGGAAAACGAAAACGGGTTCCTTTATATGTTCATTGTCCTTCCTTTTGTTTTTTTATTTCACAGGGAAAAGAACCAGAGAAGAGGAAGATAAGAACGAGAGGTGAGATGAACACGGCACCATCTTCTCTTTGCCTTATTTTTGCACCTCCCTCTCCTGTCTTAATTTCTCTTCCACTCTTTTTTTCCATTGCTCTTCCCATAATATTGCATTCCTTTTGATAACTCACATGAAATTAAAATGGCCTCCTTGTTGTCTCTCCTCTCTCACTTCCCTTTCCCTTCTCTCCTTCTGTTTCCTTTTAATTTTAACTGATAAAACACAAGAAAGGAGCTTGTAAAATCAAGCAGGGGAAGGGTAAGCAGAAGGTGACTCCTTGTGCGTGGACCTTTGCCGTACTTCACCATACCCCTCTTTTCGGCCTATCTCTTCGGCTCTTTTCCTAACCCTTCTTCTTTTCATCTTTCTTTTTGTTTTTCTCATTTTGAAAAGACAGAGGGAACGGAGAGATAAGGGAGAGAGGATAGATAAAGAAGAGTACCATCTTCTTTGCGCCTTGTTTTATCTCTCTTCTATTCTTTTCTTGGCTCTTCCCATGAAAATTGTGTTCCTCTTATCTTTCCCTCCTTCTCTCCCTTCTCTTCTCCTCACGAGAGCCTTCGACTTTAGGATTGAGGAGAAAAAGAGAAGAGAAAAGAGGAACTACCTGGTTCTTGTTCCTGAGGCCTCCATAGTACGACTGACGTGACAGCAGCGTACCCTCGTGGAAACGTGTATGGCTATAAGAAAACCCGAGTCCCAGCTTCCAAATAGACCCTATTTAAGCCACCCACGGGGGGGGGGCGGGGGGGGGGGGGGGTCCGGGGCCGGGGAGGGGAGTGGTGTTGGGTTTTTTTTTTAGGGGGGGGGGCGGTTGGGGGGTGGGGGGGGGGGTGGGGGGGGGGGGGGTGGGAGGGTGGGGGGGGGGTAGGTGGGTTGTGGGGGGCGGGGGTGGGGGGTGGCCGCTAAATATATGACCTTGCCCGCTAAATATATGACCTTGCCCGCTAAATATATGACCTTGCCCACTAAATATAGGACCTTGCCCGCTAAATATAGGACCTTGCCCGCTAAATATAGGACCTTGCCCGCTAAATATAGGACCTTGCCCGCTAAATATAGGACCTTGCCCGCTAAATATATGACCTTGCCCGCTAAATATATGACCTGGCCCGCTAAATATAGGACCTTGCCCGCTAAATATATGACCTTGCCCGCTAAATATATGACCTGGCCCGGGCCATATATTTAGCGGGCAAGGTCATATATTTAGCGGGCAAGGTCCTATATTTAGCGGGCAAGGTCCTATATTTAGCGGGCAAGGTCCTATATTTAGTGGGCAAGGTCGCCCTTTAGCGGGCAAGGTCATATATTTAGTGGGCAAGGTCTTTTTTTAGCCAATGGACCTTGCCCACTAAATATATGACCTTGCCCGCTAAATATATGACCTTGCCCGCTAAATATATGACCTTGCCCGCTAAATATATGACCTTGCCCGCTAAATATAGGACCTTGCCCGCTAAATATAGGACCTTGCCCGCAAAGTCATTAACATTTATATTATATATGAAAGAGTGGTTTAGGGTTTAGGAGGGTTCAGGGTTTAGGGTTCCGGAGCTGAATTTGGGGTTCAGGGGTGTACAGGGCGAAGAGCCCCAAGACATCCCACATATGCGCCCGGGAGTCGCGGAGGTCATCCAGGAACCAGACGCCCCGATCTTGGAGGAAATATTCTTTCGGCCCAACGCCGTTCGCGTGAGCCAAGGCAGGCATGGTCCGCGGGCCTTGAGGATGCGACTGCGAAAAATGTGGGGAAGCATACTTTCGGACGACATCTGGGGAGAAGAAAACAGCTTCCCCGGAAAAATAGAATAGGAGCACGAAGCCCCTGATTGTCTGAAACCTCTAATTAAACCCTAAAGCCCCTTGACCCTAAAATTACAAATAAAGCCCCTAAACCCAAAATCCCTAAACCCTAAAGCCCCGAGACAAGCTCCTAAACCCTAAAGCCCATATACCCTACAATCCCTGAATCCTCAATCCCCTGCGTTCCGAAGGCCTTGAAGATGAGCTTTTCGCCAGAAGAAATTCACCCCATTGGCCACGACCTAAGGCACTCGACGGAAGGCCCCCTTTAGGGTTTTTGGGGGGGAGGAGTGCCTTGAGGGGACTTAGGGTTTAGGGTTTAGGTGCTTCAGGGGATTTTGGGGTTTTGGGCAACCCTAAACCCTAAACCCTGAACCCTAAACCCTAAACCCTAAACCCTAAACCCTAAACCCTAAACGTGCAGAAAGCGGCCTCTCTGGGATCCAGGACTCGCACGCGCAGGGCATCTCCAGCAACCGGGCCAGCCTCGCCTACTCAACTCATGGGTCCCCCTACTATCCCCCTCTATACTACCCCTAGGGTTTAGGGTTTAGGGTTTAGGGTTTAGGGTTTAGGGTATAGGGTTTAGGGTTTAGGGTTTAGGCCTGTTTGGGGGACAATTACGCTTAATTAAAGTCATCTAAGGGGGGAACCAAGGTAGTCTAGAGAGGGGTGCCCATGATCAACGTATGCACAGTCGTAGGCCAAACGTTGCTGCAAGACTTCAACGTGCGGTTGGTCTCATGACGGGCTCTACTTGGTGCCACAAGATATGAAATGATGAATGAGGTCGCAGATCCAGGCAAGGCCCGAAGCCTCCCCATTTAGGGCAGATTGCATGCAAACTTATAAAAGCTAAACCCTAAACCGTACTAAGCCCTAAACCCTAAACCCTAAACCCTAAACCCTAAACCTAAACCCCAAACTCAACTTGCGGGCTCCGGCTCTGGCCTGACGCCACCACCAGCGCCAGGTCCTCGTACAGGCCTTGCACGCAGGGCGAGCAGCGAGCCGCCACGCGTCGCACGAACCTGCGGATGGGTTTAGGGTTTAGGGTTTAGGGTTTAGGGTTTGGGGTTTGGGGTTTGGGGTTTAGGGTTTAGGGTTTAGGGTTTAGGGTGAGGGTTCGGGGGCTGAGGGTTGGATTCAGGGTAGATGGCTGAGGGTTTGTTTAGGGTTGAGGATCTTTAAATTTAGGGTTTTAGGGTGTATATGGTCTGGTCTTATGGGACGTGTAGGGTTTTGGGCAACATCAGGGTTATCGGGTCGAGAGTTGGAAGGGTTAGGGTTCAGGCTGATAGGGCTTGTAGGGTCTGGGGTTTTGGCTTACAATAGGCGCTGAAGGGCTTACACGGCCTGTCGGGCTTGAGGCCGTACTATGGGGTTCCATGGGGCTGATACGATGTATAACTCGTGTGCAAGCGGTGCAACATGGATGGAGCGAAAGGTCGAAACCCTGAGCTCAGAATCCTAAAAGCCTCGGGTCTAGAGTGTTGTGGGCTTAGGGTTGTTGCAGCGTGCCACTGGGTCGGCTTAGGGGAGATTGGGGTCGTACGTAGGGCTTTAGGGCTTGGGGTTTGGGGTTTAGGGTTTAGGGTTCCAACCAAGCCCCCTGCTTGTTGAAGACCCTCTGGTCGAACGGGTCGCGCAAGAGTCTGCCAGGCAGTACTTCATCGGCGTTGGCCTGAGTTCAGCAGCGCCCCAGATGCCCGATGCGCGCGAAAGAGGAAAGAGGAAGCCCGCAGCTGCTGGGCCTTTTGGCTTTTGGCTTTTGGCTTTTGGCTGCTGGCTTTAGGCTTTAGGCTCTTTAGGCTTTAGGCTTTAGGCTCTTTAGGCTCTTTAGGCTCTTTAGGCTCTTTAGGCTCTTTAGGCTCTTTAGGCTCTTTAGGCTCTTTAGGCTCTTTAGGCTCTTTAGGCTTTTGGCTTTAGGTCTTTAGGGTTTAGGGTTTAAGGTTTACGGTTTAGGGTTTAGGGCAAGGCCAAAACAAGTGCGAGGGTCCGAAAGAAAGGCATCCAGAAAGGCCCCCAATTTTCGAGATGGTTGGACGTAGATGAAGCCAGTGCTAAGATCGTCCTCAGGCCGTACCCAGCCTCCAAGAGGAATGACCATTAGGCTTTGGGGTTTAGGGTTTAGGGTTCAGGGTTCAGGGTTTGGGGGTAAGATTCAGGTTTTGAGGCTCAGCCCTCAGTCAGTTCATGTGCCACAAGTGCGGATAAAGGCCTATAGGCATTCTTGCCAGCCAAGGCCAACGTAGCTATTTCTGGGCCCCCCAGCCTTTCCACAGATGCTTCTGTGGCCAGAAATGCTCAGTAGCAATCTCCATGTCAGCATCATGGCCCAGAAGAGGAAATGGATCTCGAAACGCAACAACGTCGGAGTCCACCACGGCCAGGCGTAAACCATATCTCACCGCTACAAGCAAGAGCCACCAACGAAATTTCCAAATCAAGTCAGACAGGTCGGACGTGCCGCTTGAGTACAGAAGTGAGTGGAAGCCTTCGTCCTTCAACTCCTTGTAGGCCCGTGCGTCCATTGCCACGACGACAAAACGATGCTCCAGATGCGGCACGTTGCGTCGGATGGACAATGCAAGGTTGAGGGCCTGAACGCGAACGCCATGAAACGCACAAGCCGGGTCAGTGCATGCCATCAAGAGGAGCATGACTGAAAGCAAGCCACAGGTACTAATTTAGGGGCCTTAATAACAATCAGAATTGGATTTTTGGGGGTTGTTATGGTATATTGATATAGGGACCATAAGAAAATACCATGAGTAATTCTTCCGAACCCCACAACCCACAACCCACAACCCTAAACCCTAAACCCTAAACCCTAAACCCTAAACCCTAAGTGCACGACTGCGGTGCACACCATGCATGGCCTGTTGCACGAAGCTCTTCTCACCGGTGGTCCAGGTCACCAGCAGAGGTTGGAAATCCATGGCCTGGTTTAGGGTTTAGGGTTTAGGGGTTAGGGTTTAGGGTTTAGGGTTTAGGGTTTAGGGGTTTAGGGGTTTAGGGGTTTAGGGGTTTAGGGGTTTAGGGGTTTAGGGGTTTAGGGGTTTAGGGGTTTAGGGGTTTAGGGGTTTAGGGGTTTAGGGGTTTAGGGGTTTAGGGGCTTAGGGGTTAGGGTTTAGGGTTTAGGGTTTAGGGGGAACTCCATGGCCTTTGTCTGCGTTCGTGAAAGCAGCTCTGTCAGCGCATTTCCCAGATTCTGGAGGTCCTCCGGCTGAAAAAATTGGACCATGGATAACTTGATTGTAGCTGCTGCTGCCAGCCTCAAACCCTAAAGCCCTAAACCCGAAGAAATGAAAACTCCAGTCAAGACCCCAATGGCGGCCCCAGAACATCCCCTAGTAAAAACCTTGCTCCGCCTTTTGAAAGGCTTAAGGGCTTATAACCCTACACCCCAAGTTTATAGGGTTTAGGGATGTTTAGGGTCCCGAAACTGCTGCATCACTCACTCTCCTCGGGCAGTTCGCCAAGCTTTGATTCTGCATCGCCGCGTGGCAAGCTGTTGTCTCCGGCAACGCCGAGCGCCTGGCAAACACGCTCAGGGCTTAGGCGACGTATGGGTCCTAGGCGTGAGAAGGGACTACCCAACCCCTAAACCCTAAACCCTAAAACCCGAAAACCCTCAAACCCTAAACAACCCTGAGGATCAGGTTCCCCCCCCAAAAAAAAAACCAAGAATAGATTAAGGGCGAGAGTGCGATGCCTGGCAGGGAGTGCTATCGAAGGTTAGCGGTCCCGAGGCAGGGGACAGGCAGGGGCTTTCGGGTTTCTAGCTTGCAACCCTAAACTGAAACCCTAAACCCTAAACCCTAAACCCTAAACCCTAAACCCTAAACCCTAAACCAGGGTGGCGACTGAACGATGCCCACAGCCGTATAGATTCGCCTGAAAGCGCTGCTGCACCCAGCTCGCCACCGCATTCGACCGGGTCGCCGCCTCCGCGCGGCACATCCTCCAGACCCGGATGGGCTTAGGGTTTAGGGTTTAGGGTTTAGGGTTTAGGGTTTAGGGTTTAAGGGGGGGTTTAGAGGATGTACCCTGGGATGTTCCCCCTTAT